GTTAAGCTGATTGGGGAAATTGGCGAAAGCCGTGGTATTCTGATCACATCTTACTCTAATATGCGCCTTGTGCAAGAGGATCTGCAGAAATATAATTGGCATTACATCATCCTGGATGAGGGACATAAGATCCGCAATCCTAATGCAGCAGTCACTTTGGCTTGCAAACAGGTGCAAGAATTACCTGGAATATTATAGCTGTGTGCATTTATGTGACTGCTAAATACTTTTGTTTGGTGTTTTTTTTCCCCTAATATAATGTGTTTCTCTTTCTCAGTTCCGTACCCCACACCGTATAATCCTGTCTGGTTCCCCAATGCAAAACAATTTAAGGGAGTTATGGTCTCTTTTTGACTTTGTCTTCCCTGGAAAACTGGGCACTCTTCCAGTGTTCATGGAACAGTTTTCTGTACCCATCACCATGGGAGGATATGCAAATGCTTCTCCTGTACAGGTATGGACTTTTTTTTTATTTTGTACTTTTTGAATATAGTTTATGTAACTTTTTAAAGTGACATTAAAGTCTCAATTTTTTACATATATCTACTACTAGCAGGCAGTAGATCTATGAAAATTGTTTAAAAAAAAAAAAAGTTATCAAATAGGTAAAAACTTACCTCTCCGCTGCCTGCTTCCGGCTGAAGAATCCAGCTTCTCGAGCATTGTTATACTGATCTTGTTGAAGGATGAGGATGTACTCTTTGGATTGAAGTGCCTCATTAGGACAGGTGGGCCTAATCCTAATGCATAGAATATGCACTGTGCAGCTAACCTTTTCTAGTCTAGAAATGGCAATGTTCACACTTTTCAGGCAGCTTCAAGTCAATCCTTCAGTATTACAGAGAGGCTGAGGCATGATAATTTTTCTTTATATTTTAAAACACATAAAATAAATAAATAGATGTTTATTTGTTCACAATCTTCCAGGACTCCTTAGTCCTTTCTTTGTTTTAAGTAATGAATCAGAAGTCTGATATATGTGCAGTGTTGTCAAAGCGTGGAGGTAGGGGATTCTTCTCTGAGAAGCTGTAACAGGGTGTAAAAAGACAGATGTGCTATAGTATAAGAGCTGTAACTTTATTCCATTTTGTAAAGCCTTGCATCAGAAGCAAAGCTGGTGCAAGTCAGATACAGAAAAATGCAAGGCTGTTACAAGTGCTGGGATACTGTTAAATAAAGGTTTACTGTTACATAAAGGTTATGTAATGGAGTCTGTTCCTGACACAATGGGTCTGAACTTCAGAGGGTCTAACCCTTTGTGTATTTTCGGCAGTCCATATATAACAGGCATTCATGCATATTTGTTCACCAGAAATTCGTCCCAACTCTTCCTTAATCCACCCGTTACTCAAGCCAATGTCTATCAAGGAGATGAGGCTTCCCAAAGTATCATGGGTAATCATTTTTGAAACTAGTGTGTAGCTCTTGCCATCTGCCAGCATCTGGGATATCCCTGTACCATAGTCTGTATAGTTCATTACAACGGTGGCTCCTCCCTTATCGGCAGGTTTGATAATTATACTTTTGTCATAAGTGCCACATAACCAGACACCTCATTTGATTTACACATGAGTTTGGCACATGCGTTTTGGATACACATGCTTTATATAGCCTGCATATGACTCACCTTCACTGTGATCATCCACCCAGGACTATTTAACAGGGCACTCTAATGATGCACAATAACCTGCTAGGTGACATGCATATATAACAACGCATTTGATAAGCGTGACAGAATCATAGTTCACATGTCACAAGTTTTAGACTGGGGCTTTTAAGCTATGGCCACTCAGAGAACCTTTATGACCATGTTCAGGCCTTAATTTAATTATAAGCTCCAATCCTACATTTATACTTGTGACTGCTTTCATTATTTATAAGGGGTTTAGAATTAACCCCTTTTTTTGTTATGCTGGATTTATACCTCAGTGTGCCCACGTTTAGCAGCATATACCAGGTTATGTCATCTATTATGAACACAAGATTTGTTCCTTTATGTTGACCTGAGCCAGCCTGAATATGATGATTCCCGGATCGGATTCAGTCACCTCCTATCAGAGCTACCAACCACATTAACGAATGCTTCCGCGGTGCTTATCTATGAACCTTAGGCAATTGGGTGGGCGTGGTCATGACTGCAGTACCCACAATACTGATGAGAGGTTGTACTTGCAGAACAGGAGTGTGTGACCTATGGGCCGATGGTATTGTAAATACACATCTGGCTGAATTTTTATCATAGAAACGACCGGATTGCATCGCTAATATTATGATACATGTTATTGGATTGCTCCATAAGGACTTTGTTTTTTGCATATATGGTTTTACAGGATGACATCTGAAACAGGATCTGATGTCAGCATGACATCAGGGGGGTAGGACTATGTGTTTTTATGGGTTAGTGCACTGGTGTATATATTGTCAACACTTTTTATGTACTTTTATCATTTTTGTTTTTGACTGATGAAGGGTCCGGACAGGTTCCGAATCGTTGCCATGCATGGTTATATGACCTGCTAGAATGAACAAAAGTATTTTGTTTTGAAGAAAACTTGCCGGTGTGCTTCTGATCATCTATTCTTTTTTGCAAGTATTTGACGGCGTCATCCGTGGCAAGTTCAAACCCCAACAATACATTGTGCTTATCGGTCAGGAGTGTGGTGGGACTCTCGATTTGACTGTAACTGTTAAAATTGGGGTTTGTGGGTGCACATGGGACCCAAAAGATATGTGATTATCACATGTAGGATTTAAGTCTTTTAAGTAAGACTCAAATTGCGCAAAGGTGATACATGATACATACATTAGTAACAACATTCCTGCCACTCTTGGCATCTAAAGATTCTGAAGTGATTCCTTGAACCTCCTGCTCCACCTTTCTCTAGCTGTGATTACATAATGTTTCCCACCAACATTTTTCACACTGCAATGCCTTTTTTTTTTACTGATCCTGAGACTCTCTTTTTGAAGCTCTACAAGGATGCGCCCAGCTAACCCTTAGGCCTGGTTTACACCTGGACGTTTTACAGCGCTGATCGACTCGCTGTAAAACGCCCAGCAAGTGATATCCCATACTTTCCTATGGGCATGGTTCCCACCTGTACGTATTTCAGCACGTAGGAACGCGCTGAAAAACGCTCTACGCCCAAAGAAGTACAGGAGCTTCTATGGGGCATTTTTACGCGTGTTTCCATTGGTATTCCTGAGTGTGGATCGGGTTTAACAAAGCGGTAACTCCGAGCCACACTCGGGAATACAGCGTACAGGTCTTACCTTGTCCCCGATCCCCACTGTGTCCTCCGGCGGCTGTCTACTTCCGGGTTCCGCCCCTTGCAAGTTCCGTTCCTTGCAAGCGGCCGCGTCGCAGGGGGGCGCAGCTGGTGGGAAGTTTGAAAGTGAAAACAATAAAAAATAGAGAAAATAAGGAAAAAAACAAAAAAAAAATCATACCGCCCGTGAAACGCGCGTTTCACATGCTAAAAAACCTAGCTGGAAAAATAAGCTCAGGTGTGAACCCAGCCTTAAGTCCAAGCATTTCCTGCTATGGAGCTAGCTACTCCCATGTATACCACTGTAGCTGGACACCCAGTCTCCTGCTGGCATTGCTGATGGCGGCTCAGCCTCCTATATACATTTGCCAGAAGGCTGACACCATATGAAGTTAAAGAGCAGAAGACCTGTACGTTTTTGAACTGTCAGTTGGCTAACAAAGGTTTGCCTTCAAAGAGAATATATACTTAGTTAGGAGCTGGGGTGCTCCGCTGCCATACCTTATTGGCTGGGAATACTAACCTAATAATGTGTCCTGGTAATGTGGGAAACATGACCTGTTTTGTACTGCTTTTTTACTGATTGATTATTTTTACAATTTTCTATGGTACCTTGGTTCTAGCACTTAATAATGGATTTTGGATTGCTTGATCTACTCTGACAGGAGGTCAAAAGAACACAAGTTTAATTGATTTTGCTATAAACATAAATTAAAAAAATACTAGAAAACATGGAATCATTCTACAGTTAAGATATCCATTCACTCCACTTATCCCTGGATTAACTAGTACATCACAGTTTTGCTCTTTGTCTTTAATGAGCTGTTGCTAAAGGTTTTACCTCCAGGGCCTATTAAACATTTATTAGTTAAGGTAAATCCATACCCTATTCTTGTAACGGAAAGAGACAAAGGGGTCTGACAGCTGTTAAAATTTAAAATTTGTAATTCAGTGGAAAGAGTGAAGATTAAATGCTCAATGCACAAACTGTTATAATAGTTCAGAATAGAAGTGCTCACTTTTTTACACTTTTAAAGTTCATATTAATCTAGGGTCTCTTCAAAACCACTGTATTTGTATTAAAAAAAAACCCAGAAACATAGTTCTGGAACTGCCCTGTTTACCTTTGTCAGCTGCTGAGAATTTACACTCTGTTCTCCCCCTTAGCTGCTTTTGTAAAGCGTGTAATGCATCGGCTTTTGCTCATTTGGCTGTTTATTGATGACCTAAGGAGTCTGGTCAGTTACATATTGGGCATTAGTGTTGTTCATGGTTCTGCCCAAACTACAGTTGCAAGACAAGTACCATGCCCAGGAACCCGCATTTTATATTCGACTTTAAGAAGATACTGAACTACTGTTTATTTGCATGCATTTTATATCGCTGTTCTCTGTTTATAAATTGTGCTATTCCTTTCAAATGGGCTATACGAACAATAATACACTAGCAGACATTACAGAATAGAGAACACACTTCAATGCAGAATACTCGGGTCAGATCCCCAAGGCTTGGCAATGAACTACAATGTGTGAATATTAATACAGATAATAATTCACTATGGACTATCTACACAGTGGAATCAATGGTAGGGAGGCAAGTCCTCAGGAGTACTTCCTTTTTTATTTTATGTAAGGTGGGATTAAGGGAGGCCAGGTAGCATGGGTAGAGAAGGTGAGGGAAAAGTGGGGATGGGCACACAAGGAAGATGGGAAAAAAGTCAAAGGAAAGATAGGGATAGGGGGGATATGTCTACCAAAGTGAGGTCGGTACTACTTGGGGACCAACCATAAACAAATAATTAGTGAAGTGTATCGTGTTTACAGAGAGCCTGGGGCCCATAGCTTTCCAAGAATTTATAAGGTGGGCGATAGAGCTGCAACAGTTAATCGATTTTAGTCGATTAAAATCGACGATCGAAAACGTTGACGTTTTCACATCAAATTCACATCAATTATGGATTTGGTTTGATCACTTATATATATACTAATCACTAATACATGATTTAAGGTTATGAGCGCTGCATATTTATTTATTTATTTATTTACCTTTTTAATGTTTTTAAAAAAAAAAAATTATTATTATTTAAAAAGCAGCACACTGCAGAACATTAGCAGCTATAGAGGAGCAACAAATCCCAGCAATAATACATTAAACACCCTGTATAATGTATTATTGCTGGGATTTG